CAAGAACACTCCTAGGCAGCAGAGCTGGGCTGAGGACCCTTCGCTGGGCCGGGTCAGAGGTTGGAGCGCAGTGCAGTCTCTCTGTGAATCGCTCCAGCGCGAGTGGTCCCCAGGGCCGTCTGCTGCGTTGCCGAAAGATCTCTTCCTTGTCAACCTGCATTGCTCTTGTTTTAGCTGCTGCTTCTGTCTGTGCTTCGCCTGTCCACACCCCCTCCTTCCTTTTTATTTCACTGTAAATATTTACGCCCCGTGCTGCACCTCCCCCTCTTGTCGCCCTTGCTGGAGTCTCTCAGGTTTGATTTGTTTCTGCGGGATGTCAGGGTTACTCAGCATGCTGTCATTGCAGGGGGAGTTGGGTGTTCTGGAATTACCGCCAGTTCTCTGGGAGCAGGAGCGTGCTGTTTGTGCAGCGGTGTTGTGGGTGGGTGGGTGGGTGGGTGGAGTAGCGTAGGTACCCAGAGAGTCAGTGCTGTGTTCTTTCACAGGCTGTCAACATGGGCAGCGGTGCACCGCTGGTACAGTGGGGTGAGTTGGGTATGCTAAAGAAAAAGCAGGAGCCCTTTATTATTCACACGTTGCTCTTGTGTAGCCCTAAAGAGACCTTGGCTAATTCAGCATGTGCCTGAGGCAGGGAAGGTTTTGTTAGCTCCATTATAAAGAAAGGGAAACTGAGGCACTGAGCAGTTACGTGAATTGCCCAGGGTCACACAGCGAGGCAGCAGAAGAGCCCAGAATAGAACCCAGGTGTCCTGGCTCACAGCAGCTGACTGTGCCCTCTGCTAACAGCTGGCGGGGGCCTGAGCACTGAACTAAGACCTGTGGTTAGCAGGCTGCAGGCTGCTTTAGCGAGCCCTGTGTTCTCGGTGTGTCTGTTCGGGACAGACTCCAGGGGCCATGGACTGGGAGCACGTGCACCGGGAGGACATCTGAGATCTCCCAGACTGATGGCACAGGGCTGTGCTGCCCATGTCCCTAGCCCAGGCTGCCTGCCCGCCCCTTCCAGATCCTGGGCACAGTGACACGTACGCTCAGCGCTGGAACTGGCAGGAGATGCCCCACAGCTTGCAGAACCCTAAGCAGTTCTTGCCGCTGCTTTGGGGCTGACAGCCCCCTTGATAGACAGCGTGGGGACCAAGCCCCACCCCCATGTAGGAGGTGTTCTCTCCTGGGCCTTTCTCTCGGAAATGGCATAGAAAGGTTCTGTCCTCTGCGGGAGCACAGCCGAAGGAGTGGCCCATCCAGTGCTGCTGGGGCCCAGGTGGGGATGTGCTTAGGGAATGAATCGCACAAAGTTGAGCCTCCTGGCCCCTTGGCTTGGGCTAGGTCAGCCTAGTGCCTGCTGCAGGTCAGCTGGGGATGGTAGGGAGAGGAGCAGGAGTTTGCACATGGCCAGCCATTGTCTAGTGCATTGTGGACCGTGGCAGAGAACTGCCATTGTCCTTTCGCCCTTGGCACCTAATGTGCTGTGCAAAACGATGGTGAGAGTCTGAGTCCAGGGCGTGTGTCCCAGGCTGGTGAGAGCATTGCAGGGCAGGGCACCCAGGCTGGGCCCCAGAGGGGGAGGCTGGAGCTATCCCTGGGCGGTGCGCTCGCTCCCGACATTTGAGATGGTCTCTATTACTCCCTGTGGCAACAGCAGCCTCTTGGAGGCTCAGGCTGCAATCCCTCGCCCACCTCTCTGGGAAGCACCTGCTGGCATGGGGCTGGGGTCGGGCTGGCTCGCTCTTGCAGGGCTGGGCAATTTAACGTTCCTTTGGGGAGGGATCTGTGTAAATGGGACAACATTGATTTTGCCAGCAGGTATAACGGCAAAACCATAGGGGAGGCTGAGCCCAGGGCCTTGGTAATGCTGCTGTGTGGATCTTTCCCTGCTGCATAGGAACCCCTGCCCTCTTTTATCTCCGCATTGGAGACGGTGTGGGGTCATAATCACCCAGGTCTAATTAGCCGTGTCAGCGTAGGGAGGCAGGTCGGTGATGGGAGTCACAGCGCGGGGTGGTCGAGCGGCCGACTGGACTCACGTAGCTGTGATTCTCTCCCATCCCTTGGCCTGTGTGGAGCTGCCAGTGCTGGGAGAGAATGGAGCCAGCGTGCTGGGGCAGGGCTGGGGCTGGGGCTGCGTGTCACAGGGGTCCATGTGGCTGCTGCAAGGGATGAGCATGAAACGAAGCAAATGGGCTCCTCATCTTTCACGTGGATGGGCTAGTGGTAAAAGCACAGCAGTGGGTGGGAGAAGACCTGAGTTTTATTCTAGCTCTGCCCCTGGCCTTAGACAAGTCATGGAATGACTCTGTGCCCTGGTTTCCCTATCTCTAAAAGGGGATAATATTGCCCTACCTCAAAGGGGGGGTCGTGAGGTTCAGGGGTGACCTGGGAGGAGGGTTTGTGCCTGGGGGGGGGTCTAGAAGGGCTGGGAGGCTTGTTTTGGGTTTGGTTTCTTCACCTCAGAAAGCTGAGGGTAGTGGAGCTGCGGGACTCTTTGGAGAAATCCTGCGAGTTGGGAGTTATCTCAGCCCTATTCGAAAGGGGCCACCGGGGAAATGAATCTTTAACAAGGAGAGATTCTCTCTCTCCTGTTTCCCAAGAGTTTGAGTTAAACACAAACAAAAATGGAAAGAGCATTCCCAGCCGTGTGATCAAACCCACTCCCCTGTCACTGGTGGGTCGAAGGTCTCCCTCGGTATGGCCCTGCCAGTTCTCTAGGCTCTGCTGGCGCAGAGGAGATGCAGCCTCAGGATTTCAGATGTAAAAAACAAGCAGAAAACACAAAGCCTTGTTAAAACCTTGAATCCTCCAGCCCTGTATCCAGTCTAGGGAAAGCAAATGGGGGAGGGGCCTGCCTGCGTTCCTCACCATTGATTGCTTGCCAAGGGATTTGGAAGAAAGAGTGTGGGTGGGCGGTGCTAGCAGAGGGCAAGTCCTATTCTCACTGGTGGTGGCCAGTGAAGACTGCGGGTGTGGCTTGTAATAGGCTCAGTGGTCTCTGCAAACCCCTCCAGGCTCCTAGGCAGCCTCGTAGATCTATCTGGGCTGCACGTGTCACCCTTTCAGCAGCTCCCCTAACTCTAAGCCATCCTGAGGTCCTGTACGGTTCGGCCCAAGTCCCCCAGGTGTCAGCAGCCACCACCCTAGTGGCTGCAGGGGAGGGGAATTGTCCCCCTCCTGGGTCTGGCTGGCGCAGAGCTCTCTTTGCAGCAGTATTATGCTTTCTCCGATCCCAACAGCAAAGCCTTTGCCTCTTCCACTGCCACACAGTTGGGTGCCCCAAACCAGTTAGCTTAGCTGGTTAAAGCCTGGTGCTGATAATACCAAGGGTATGGGTTCGATCCTAGTGTGGGCCCAAGAGGGCAGTGTGGGCCAGTGGATTGCCTTTGCGGTTAGGAGCAAGGTGGTTATGAGTTCTAATCCTGGCTTTTCCTCTGCCTCTGGTAAATCACATAATTATCTGGTGCACCCCAGACAATGGAGTAGGTAAGCCCTGACCCAGGCCGAGCCTGCTGTGCTGGGGGGTGGCTTGCTGTCAGCAATGACTTGTTTGCTTATGAATCTACAGACACATTCAGACTGGGAATAGGGTGTACATTTTGAACCGTGAGGGTAATTCATCATTGGAACAATTTACTGAGGGTAAATGGGTCCTCATCTTCCTCATCCATGGCCATTTTTCCGTCAAGATGGGCTGTTTCTCTAGCAGATCTACCCTAGGAATGATCGTGGGGCTGGTTTCTGGCCTGTGTTGTACCGGAGGTCAGGCTAGGGTATCACAGTGGGCCCTTCTGGCCTGGGAAGCTGTGGATCTATGAATAAATTCATTCATGGGCCCTGAGAGGCAGGTGGGGCCGTAGCTCCTTCCTGGAGCTGCAGACTGCCCCTGGGGACTGTGAGGACACTGTCCTGCTTATGGGATCACAGTGGCACCAGTGTTTGTGGTCTGGTGCTAGCTGGAGCTGTGGCAAACTGAATTGGCATCACCCCCCCAGAGGGGTGGAGCCCAGTGACTTGCCTTTCATCTGTGGGGAGGCGTCTCTCTCCGGCACAATGGCTCTGTCGCCACCAGGCTCTGCCACTGCAGCACACTGCTGCATGCCCCCCTCCCCCGGCCCCTTGTCTCCTTCCCCATTATGCTGTCGGCTTGCCCCGTCCCTGGTTATGGAATCCAGCAGGGCTGGCTGGCAGTGTGCACTCATTCTGCGCCCCCAGCGCAGGACCCCCGACCGCTCTGCTCTGCTCCTGTAGTCAGGGTGCAGTGACGCAGCAAGTGTCTGCGTGAGGGCAGCAAGTGTCTGCGTGAGGGCAGCTGGGTGCACACGAGGTGCTCTGAGCGAGGTGGGACTGGAGCTCGCAGGCGGTGCCGGCTACATCCAGCCGTACTCTGTTCCTTTTTCCAAGCTGCTCCTCACGACCATGTCGGCTAGACAGCGTTATGGCTTGGAAGGGAAAGCTGAGATTCAGCGACAAGGAGCGTGCTCTGGAGCTCCGGATTTGCAGAATACACAGTCCTGCCAACAGCACCCGGAGCACTGTCTGTGCCTCACCACTAATTAATGCAGCCTGCGGGGGGAGCATGAGCACCCCCAAAACTGCTTCATCTCATTGAGGGGCCGTGGCACCCTTCAAATCCTCTGTGGGCTTGGTACAAACGAAGCGAGAGGTTCATAGAGAAGGAAAGTGTTGGTAGTTGTGGGGTGTGTTTGCAGGTAGGTAGTGAAACAGTCATTGCTGCTCCCCAGAGACCCCCAGGGGACCCTGGGCCTGGTGATTTCTGATGGTGGCTTGGGGCACTGCCCCCCCCTTGTGGCTGATGAACCTGGTGCATGGCATGGACAGTACTGGGGGGAAAGGAGCTTCTTTCTGTGGGACGTCTGCCCTGCAGGCTGAGGCCTGGTGTTCCCGGGGGGCAGCTCAGGGCAGCAGATGAGAAGGACTGGGTGGGTGATCTGTGGTGGGGGCTTTTCCTGTCAAGAGTGGGTCTCTCTGATGCACGTGTCCCTCTCTCTCAGGATGAGATCGAGGAGCTGCGTGCAGAGATGCTGGAGATGAGAGACGTCTACATGGAGGAGGATGTCTACCAGCTGCAAGAGCTCCGGCAGCAACTGGACCAGGCCAGCAAGACCTGTCGCATCCTGCAGTACCGACTGCGCAAAGCGGAGCGCCGCAGCCTGCGCGTGGCACAGACTGGGCAGGTGGACGGCGAGCTCATCCACAGCCTGGAGCAAGACGTCAAGGTAAGACGGGCCCAAGCCACATCTGCTCTGGCTTCTGCTCTCAGAGGACAGAAAGCTGTTAATCGTGGGAGCTCAGATGCTGCAGGGATGGGGACCTTGCCAGAGAGACCTCTGGGGTCACGCTGCTAGGTGGGCTGATGGTGTATGCAGGGCCCCAGAGTTGGACAGGACTGACATGTGGTCCTGTCTGAATGGTGATTATTTCTTATTAACCATGTTTATTGTGGCAGTGCCTAAGGACCGGCCAAGACTGGGGCCCCGTCGTGCCAGGGACTTTGTACTGCAGATGCACCCACGGGCTCTAGCCAGGCCCAGGCCCTGCTGCGCTAGGTGCTGTCCAGACACATAGGGAGAGACAGCCCCTGCCCCAGGCATTTCCAATCCTAGTTAATAGGGGCAAGACCCAACCAGTGGGTGAGACAAACCAGTGTGGGGAGGGTGGGTGACAGTACTAGGAGCCCAGGCCAGCCATGGATGGCCCAGGACTGGAGGAGTGGCTCAGGCACTGTAATCTCGGCCCCCCAGTCGTCACCAGGCCGTGGGGCCAGGGCTCTGTTTCTGCAGCCAGGAGCATTCCCGGGAGTCTGGGAAGGGTTCTGGCTCCTCCCCGGCCCCTCTTGACTCGGGTGTGTGGACCTTGCGCCAGGAGGCGTGATCCCAGCACACGGAGCGGTGCCCCGGCGTGCTTGGAGTGAGCTGAATCAGCACTAGCTCGGGTGCCTGCACATGCTGCGTCGCACCATATGACCGCAGTGTAGGCGTAACCATAGTGACCATAACGGTGCCAGTGCAGCTGAATGCCCTGGGCTGCGTTAGCCATCAGGCACCATAGGCCCATGCGTGGAGTCTGGCTCTGGGGCGGGTGGTACCACTTGCAGCCAGAGGTGTACACTAGGGCAGGCTGCCCCAGGCAAGGGCCCGAGGGCCCGCTGCTGCTCTTTTGGTGGCTGGGGGACGGGGACCCTGCTTCTGTGGCTCTGAAGTCAGCTGGGTGTGGAGGTGCCCCCCCCCCCCCCCGCTGTCGGGGTGACAGGGAGGTCCTGTGGCAGTTACTGGCCTGTGGAGGCTGGGAGCTGCTATCCTACTTTCCCTGGGATGGAGCAGAGGAGTGGGCCCTTTGGAGGGGTGGGCTTCTCTCTGGCCCAAGCAATGTGAGGGGAGGGGCAGTGGATGGGCAGGGTGGGGGTTGGCTGTACCCCCTCCACGCTGGCTGGCTGTGAGGGGTTGAACTGGCCAGTCCCAGGGACCGCTGGGCTCATCTCACGTTGCAGGTAGCCTGTAAGGTCCTGCCCCTCCCCCTCACCAGAGGGGGACCGGCACTGTGACCCCATAGCCCTGCATCTCCCTTCCCTCCTCTGCTCAGTGGAGCCTTGGGTTGAGATTTCTGGGCTCTCCTCTCCCATGGCAGCATCTTTCTCCTTGGGATGGGGGGGTACGGAGGAGCACAGCTGCAGTAGGAGCCACGCTTTCCTCTGTCGTTCCCCTCAAATGCCCCTTCGCTTGTGCCGCCCCAGTCGAGTCCGGGGCTCCTGGTCTCTCGGGCAGCGATTTGCTTTCCCACCAGTGCAGCTTCGACTCCCGGAGCTGAGCAGCTGAAGGGACCAGCGAGGGCGAGCTGTACCTGGGAGCTGGCTAAGGGTCTGAGCTAGCTAATGACTGTCCCAGGCAGCTGGGAAAGGGGGCTGCGTGGCTCCGCTGCTGCCCCGGGGATGGCGCAGGCTCGGCACTGCAGCACCCACGCTGCCGGATGGATGGCTGTGTCATCTTGTGCCCTCTGCGGCATGATCCCAGCCTCGGGACCTCTGCTAGAGCACTGGGAATAGCACAAGCAGCAAGGGGGCAAGGGACAGATGTGGGGAAGAGGTCAGGGAAAGGAGCTGGGGGGGAGGGAGAAAGGAAAACAGGAAGGAGGGGGCGGAGAGAGGCTGGGATGGAGAGGGTGTGGAAGGAGAGGGAGGAGAGAGGGCTGGTTTGGTACAGCTGGGCAGGTCATGAAGCTGCAGCTTTTTCTGACCCTCGCTGAGTGTGTGGGAATTGTTCCAGCTGCAGAGTTGTAGCCTGCAGGTCTCCGAGGGGCGTGTCGCTCCGAGATGCAGCTCGCCCCATTGTGGTGGTGCTGGCCATGCTCAGTGACCTGGAGCCTGGCTAGGACAGAGGCTTGAGCCTTCCTGACAACAGGGAATGGCTCCCCTTTTCCCCAGCCCCAGATGAAGCCCTTGTGGAGCCACAGCTGGGGGTGTGTGTGTGTGTGTGTGTGTCCTGGCTCCTACCACATGTCTCTGCCATGCTGGCAGAGCTGAGCCCTTGTTGGTTGTAGCTGGTGTCGCTGAAGACTGGTTTACAGAGTAGAGCAGAAGTGATCTGAATTTTGTGGGGCTTTAATTCCTAGCATCCCTCAGCTGGTTGCTCCCCACTCCTCAGTAACTATCATTGCATCCAAGACCAACAGACAGGCACGTTTACCAGGTGTTCCTGCTGAAGTGATCAGCAGTAAAACAGAGAAGTGTTGGCACTTGAACTGCCATCCTTAGGGTTCACTGTTAACATCCATTGAGTTCACAGCTCTTTACAAGTTTCAAGACCACTGGGGAGGTGACGATGGATCAGCCAAATGCTGTTCGCCATTGGAAGGTGACCTTTACAACCATTACACGTAGAAACTTTAAAAACCTAAGGCCTGGTCTATAGGTAAATATTACATTGGCCTGGCTATATCGCTCAGGGATGGGGGAAAATTCTGCACCCTGTTCTACGTAGCTAGGTCATCCTAACCCCCAGGGTAGATGCAGCTACGTCAGTGGTTCTCAAACGTTTGTACTAGTGACCCCTTTCACATAGCAAGCCTCTGAGTGTGGCCCCCCTTATAAATTAAAAAAATGTTTTAATATATTTAACACCATTATAAATGCTGGAGGCAAAGCGGGGTTTGGGGTGGAGGTTGGCAGCTTGCGATCCCCACGTATAACCTCGTGACCCTCTGAGGGGTCCCAACCCCCAGTTTGAGAACCCCTGAGCTATGTCAACAGATGGATTCTTGCTGACCTAGCTACCTTCTCTCTGGGGATGGGGGTGGATTAACTACAGCGATGGAAAAACCCTTTTGATATAGGAAGCAGCAGTGCCGTAGCAATGCAGCTGGAGGCGCTGGAGTGTAGCTATACCCTTAGGTCAGGGGTGGGCAAACTACAGCCGTTTTAAGCTGACCCCTGCTCTGGCGCTCTGGCCGGCGCTGGGTCAAGGCCGCACCATGCGGCTCCCGGAAGCCCTGGCATGGCCCCGCTCTGGCTCCTACACGCTCCAATGGGAGCTGCAGGGGCAGTGCCTGCGGATGGGACAGCGTGCACAGCCGCCTGGCTGCGCCTCCATGTAGGAGCTGGAGAAGGGACATGCCGCTGCTTCCAGGAGCCACTTGAGGTAAGCGCCGCTTGGAGCCTGCACCTCCTGAGCCCCGCCATGCCCCAACCCCCTACCCCAGCCCTGATCCCCCTCCCGCCCTCCAAACCCCTCGATCCCAGCCTGGAACACCCTCCTGCACCCCAAACCTCTCATCCCCAGCCCCACCCCAGAGCCTGCACCCCCAGCTGGAACCTGCACCCCTTCCCGCACCCCTGCCCCAGCCCTGATCCCCCTCCTGCCCTCCGAACCCCTCGGTCCTAGCCCAGAGCACCCTCCTACACTCCAATCTCCTCAGCCCCACCCCAGAGCCCGCACCCCCTCCCGCACCCCAACCCCAATTCTGTGAGCATTCATGGCCCACAATACAATTCCTATTCCCTACTGTGGCCCTTGGGCCAAAAAGTTTGCCCCTCCCTGCCTTAGGTTCTACAGCAGGAGCATGGGGGGCTCTAAAGCCACTGGGTTGCAGATAACAAGGGGAGCAGGCAGCTGCTGGGGTGCAGGAAGCGCCGGATTGTTAACAGTCTTTACTGACTCTCACCTGACAGTCCGCGCCCCTGCTCCCAGCTTCAGATCCCCTGCAAACCCTCGCCCAGAGAACCCAGGCCTCCAAATCAGCAACCCTGCGAAGAGCTGGAGCTGAACCAGGCCCCTCCCCCCACTTGGCCCTGACCGCTTCCTTTCTGCAGTGTCTGCTGATCCCCATAGGGCCGTATCGCTCCCCTCTCTGGAGTCGGAGATGCTGTGGTCCCCCTGTTGCCTTTGTGCAGCTCAGTGCAGCTTGGCAGGGTTAGTGGGCAAGGCCCTGGCCTGCCTTTGCCACTGTGCGGTCTTCAGTGCTGACAGTGACAGTGGGGATCCTGCTCCTGGCAGCTTGCAGGACACTTTCTCTTCTCTGGGCCCATTCCAATGCTGTCCGCTCCCCAGGCAGAGTGCCTGGCCTGGCCCGGCCTGTGCTCCCTCCTGGGGCCAATCAGCAGACATAGGACTAAGGCAGGGGGCTGGGGGGAGCCAGTTGTCTCTCCCAAATGGCTCCTAGAGTTCACACTGCGGAGTCACTGAGGGGCAGAAGTAGAAGGTAGCTGCAGCAGCTGGGCAGGGCCTGGCTTCCCCTCCCTGCCTTGCTGTGCATAGGGAGGAGGAAGTCTCCATGTCCCGGCTCTGTAATCTCTCTTGCACAGCCAGAGCCCAGGCGGCACCTTCCCCTCCCCCCCCCCCGCTGGCTCTCCCGAGAGCAGGCAGCGCTGCTTAGATTAGCACTTGGCTGTCTGTGGTCACGAAGCGCCTTTCCATCCTCGCGTTAGGAAGCTGAGCAAAGCCTGAATTTGAGCCAAACAAGGGCCCTTACACAAAGGAGGGGTTGGGTTGCCAAGTGCCCCAGGCACCAGAAAGCGGCTGATCCTGGAAAAGAAACATGCCACAAGTGAGTGATGGCGGCTCCTCCCCAGCATCCGGCGCTAACTGGCCTGTAATTATGAGGCGAAGTCTGAGTGTGTATTTAAAAGCGAGTCTCTTGCTGCCCACACCTGCTGGGGACAAACCCTGCTAGAGCCAATAGAGCAGAACTCTGCTCTCTGCAACCAGTGTACCCAACCATATGGGTTTGTTTCCCTGCTGCCCTCGTGCTGTTCCTCTCCTGGGCCCCCTGCACTGCTCCACCGACGCACAGCAACCCTGGCTTCATGCTCCCAGCTCCCTTGTGCAGTGCTGCCAGATAGTGTAGCAGCAGCCAGTGGCAGTCGCCTTCCCACATCCCCTGTGCAGTGGACTGAGTGCTGGGTTGAGTGCCCTGGAGACAGCCTGAGCCCCTGTGCATCTGCATGACATGCCCTGGCCTCCGTCTTGAGACCAGGGTTAGGAAATGCGACCAATGCCACGGAATTAGGGGAATTTGATCTCTTGTCCCACAATTCCCTGGACTCCTGGAAGCCCTTTCAAAATCTCCCAGAAGCCGTGGCTTCTGGAAGCTGCCCCAGGGGACTGGCACCCACAGGCAATGTGACTAGTGGTGCTGTCTAGTGTTACTGTGGGTGTCGGTCAGACTGCAGCCCCCAGAGCAGCAGGTCTGAGGCCCGGTTCTGCAGCTGGCCAAGGAAGGCCTGGGTGTTCGGGCCTGCCAAATCAGCTTGTTGTACCTCAGGGTCGTGAGCGGGGGCCCTGTCTCCCCCGGGTTCTGCACACCCCATCCGGCACAGTTTGCTTGCTCTGCCTTGGAGATGAGTCCGGACGCTGACACTTGTGTTCTGAGGGTGGAAGGCTTGGCTTAGCTTTGGAGGTCGGGGTCCAAGAGTGGGGATCAGTGTGTCAGGCATTGGCTGCATCTTCCCGTTCCCTTGCCGTGAGCCTCGCAGCAGGGAGGTGAATGGCGAGGCAGGGTGCCTGGCTTCACGAGCTGGCTCTGTCCTGGGAGCAGGAGCTGGGAGCGATTGCTCCAATATGTGTGTCAGTCTGTATTGTCCCTACACCTCCCGCCCCCGACTCCCAGCAGCTGCCTCTTGGCCGTGTTCCCACGCACAGGAATTAAGCACTTTGCTCATCAAAGCCGCCTTCCCCATGGAGACCCACAGCCATGCCCGCATTCCTAGGGCGCTGTTTGCCATGCAGCAGTGCCCCCTCAGCTCGCTTGCCGGTTCCCAGAGACCAGTGTACGCTGGGGCGTTGCACAGATATCTGCAGAAGGTAAACAAGGGACATCTCCTTCCCCTGGCCCCTCAGCTGTGCACTGGGCAGTTGTGTGTCTTTTCACACACACCCCCACTCTCCTGCCCAGCCTGTCAGTAAGGGCTGCCTTGGGACCTCCCCTCCCCCCAGCTTTTGCAGCTGTTGTGTTGCAGGTTCCCATGCTGGCCTGGCCTGGCCTGGCCTGGCCTGGCATGGAGATGCCGCCCATTGGTTCCCTCTCTGCACTGCAGCTGGAAGCCACCCCCATTTCAGACACAGCCGCTGGCTGAGGGTGGTGCCCCGGGATCGAGGGAAAAGGCTTTTCCAGCCTTTGGGGCTGTGCAGGCCTGACTCAGAGTGGAGGTGAGACGAGGGCTCCTGGCTGGGGAACCAGCTGGCCCAAGGAAGAGCCAGAAGCAAATCAAAATGGTGGTATAGGAATGCACGGCGGTTCTCTGGCGTCCCCCGCTGCCTGTGTCCATGGGTGCCCTGGAGAAAAGGGCTTGGCTGCCCAGCACAGGAAGGACCCCCAGGTATAAATTCCCTCCTCTGGTGCTCTCAGCCACCCTGCGCCCTCCAGCAGAGAGACAAGCATGCGGCGGTCATGTGGGTTATCAGTGTGCGTGTTGCCATCTGAGCCTTGTCTGTCTCTCTCTCCGATCTGCTGGAATCTGGGAGGCGCTCGCCACGTGGTGGGCATGGCTTCCCCCTCATTGGCTTAGTGTGATGCCAGCGTGTGGCTGTGCCAATGTGTGTCTGTGCCAGCTGTCCCCACCTTGGATTAAGTGTGCTGATCTCTGGCAGATTGCACAGGGGCGGTGGTGTTATCCTGGCCCAGAGAGAACCTCCTCCTAACTGCTGAGGAGCGCACAGCCTGGTGCTACCCGGTTGCAGCGTCCCTTCCCAGGGCCCGGGTGGTATGCCAGGAGACAGAACCCATCACTGGGATTGGCAGGCGTGGGTTTGTGAGCAGTGGGTGATTAGGGTCACAGACGCAGACACCCAGCCCTGGGCAACTAGCAGGAACCTGGCAAAGGAGACTCTGAGCCCATCTGGTGTGACAGATACATTTGTGTTTAAAACCCATGGTCAGTTGATTTAAATCCATTCAGCTGGCCTTCCTCCTTGCCTGGGGCTCGGGTCTGTCTTTGCCTTGGGCCCTTCTGGCAGCCCAAGCACTCTGTCTGGCTAGGCAGACCCGTTGCAGGAATGTGACCTGTTTGCAGAGCTCTCTGTAGTTGTCAGATATCAGGGGGTAGCCGTGTTAATCTATATCCACAAAAACAACAAGGAGTCCGGTGGCACCTTAAAGACTAACAGATTTATTTGGGCATAAGCTTTTGTGGGTAAAAAACCCACTTCTTCAGATGTAGTTGTCAGAGTGTCTTGCTGAGTCACCCACTGTCACTTTAGTGACTCTTCTCCCTCCAGGAGCTGTGGCCAGTACAGTGGGGCTGTGCCAGTTGCCCCCTGGCTGTGTCAGCAGTTGCAGGCTCCCCCATGGCCATTTTCACTCTGGCCATGACGCGCTCTGTCCCTGAGTCTGAGTTTTCCACTTGCTTGGACCAGTGTTTCCACTGAATGATCAGTGCTGGCTCCTGCTCCGTGCCGCCCAGGGGATCCAGCCTGGGGACTGGGTCTGCCTGCGGGCACTGGGGACATCGGCTGCTACACTTCGGGCCCCTGTAATTTGCACTCCCTGCTGTGCACAACTGACAATAAATGTCTCTTGCCGGTGTCAGTTGTTCCCTCCTCCGTTCTCAGTGGAGCTGGGGTTTGAAGCAACGTAGGGGTTCAAATAGCAATCCCATACTAGCTCCCATTTCCTGGGGCTGCCACCAGCACTGCCAGGCCCCTGGCACAGTACAGCAGGGCGGCTAACATGCTGCTGGAGACAGCACCCTGCAAAGACGGTTCGTCCTTTCGGGAGGCTGGGCCAGCGGCTGTCCCCATGCAGGAGAGAACGAAGGGCCTCAGTGAGAGCAGCAAACCCCTAGCTCAGAGAGGGCTCAGAGGGCAGACTTCCCACACGCTTAGGGGTGGGCATATCGGCCCAGCTCTGAGAACTGCTGCTCCCTGGCTAATTACTACTGCTCATCACAAATTGTAGGCCCTAGATAAACTGTAGCTACTGTTTGCATGTTGTTTTTTAAATCCCCAGTCTACATGGATGGAAAAGCTATTCCCAGCCATGAGGAAACGTTAGAGCCCTCTAGCCTGGTCTGCCCTTTGTGGCAGTGTCCGGGTCCTTGTGTGCATGTAGAGCACCCCCGCGTGATGGGCCCCAGTCCTGCCTGCCCCACTGAGCACTGCTTTCATACGGGCGTTAGAGACGCTGCACCCGCCCTTTCTGATGAGCCTCAGCCTGAGCGTGGCCCTGCTCTGTTTGCAGGTGGCCAAGGACGTCTCTGTGCGGCTCCACAACGAGCTGGAGGTGGTGGAGAAGAAGAGGATCAAGCTGGAGGAGGAGAATGAAGACCTGCGCCAGAGGCTGATCGAGACAGAGCTGGCCAAGCAGGTGCTGCAGAACGAGATGGACAAACTGCGTGAGGTGAGAGGATCGGGCTGCATGGGGGAGCGAGTATGTATGCACCCTGCTGTGTGGGGGTGGGGGGTATTTTGTGTCCCTGGGGTACCAGGGAGCCAGCCCAGCTGTTAGTGGCTACAGGGTCTCTGCCTGTAGAAGGCTTCCTGTCTCCTTGCACCTTGGGAATCCACAGGCCTCTCTGCTCTCCTCATTTAAATGGAAGCTGCTTTGCCATCAAAATATTTGTAACCTTCCCCCCCCGGTTTGTAAGCCCAGGGCAGTGCCTATCTCCTCTCTGTGAGCCTCAATGGCTTAGGGCCTCAGCCAAGTCGCTGGTGAGATCTCTGATTCATCCCCACCAGACACTAGCCCTGCTGCGATTTACTTGGCTAAGATTCAGGGAGGCCCTAGCGGCAGGGGCTGACCCACGTGCCTCCAGCTCTCTGATTCGACAGCAGCAGCTTTGGCTGCCCGTGTGGACACTCTCCATAGACATAGACTAATAAATGCTGTTCCGCCCTCCTGTGACGGTTGGTGAGTGGGGCCAGGATGGGAGGCCCAGGAGCTGCAGCAGATGTCCCTCAGGGGGTGCGTTTGTTTGCTGGCGGAAGGGACTGTGACACTTTCCCAACATATGAATGGGATGCCTGAGAGGGAGGAAACCAGCCCCTCCTGAGCCTAGAAACCTCAGCCCGAGATGTGTGTGAATGAGCTGCAGAGGGAGGCTCCATGCATGCACCGGCAACCAGTGCATGCCGGGGGTGACGGATAGCGTGCATGTGCCATGGTGGGGAGCTGGCTCCTGACAGCAGCCCAGGTCTGGGGTCATTCTGGGCATAAAGCCCCCCTCCTTCCCCATTTCCAGAATGTCCCTTGCCCCCCGCCCCCCACCAGTGTGTCTGCCTCGCAGCAGCATGCATGCCCCAGTCAGCAGCAGCACCGTGCCCTGCCTCGTGGGGCTGGCAGTGGGGCTGGGAGGGCACTGCTGGCCTTGCAGCCTCCCAGAATAGCCTCTCTCCAGCATGCGTGGTCTGGGTTGTGCCCTGAGCCCCTGCCTTCAGCCAGGGAGCTGGGGCTGGCTGCAGGACCCCAGGGGCTGTCTAGGGGAGGCAGTTGCGGGGCAGGCCAGAGAGGAGCATTGAGAGCCGACCTGCTCCTCCCTTCTGCAGGGCCCGCCCTCCCCGCCACGCTCTGGGCTCTGACAGTAACGCCAGTACACATAGTTCAGGGGAGGAAGTCCCTGAATATATGTGTATATGTGCGTGTGGGGGGGAAGGTCCAGATCAGCCGGATGGAATTACTCTGGCTGGCGTTCGGCTCGTACAGCAGGGTCGTCGGCCTGACTCAGCGCCGGGCACCTCTGCTGACCATGAGAGCTCGAGACTGCGCCTCTCGCAGCACAGCACCCTGCTGGGCCCTTGGTTCCATGCTCACTCCCAGTGCCGTTCCCTGGACCGCCCGCCCAGGCCAGCCACTCTTGTGTTGTGCCGTAACCCTCCTGCACTGCCTGGCTCCCTCCTGTGCAGATCCCTTTCCATGGCCCTTGTCCTTTCAGGCTGAGAGAGGACTTTGCTTACGTGTCATGTGAGCAGCTCGGAACTAATCTCACACCTGCAAACCCTGTCCAGCTGTTCTACGTACAGGGCTGGGGCTGATTTCAGAGCAGCGTCTCTTCTTGAGCTGTCCTTGCCCTCCAATGCACGTTTGGCTCAATGTTCCCCTGAGCATGGCTCCCCAGCCAGAGTGCTGCCCAGCTGTGAGCAGACACTACTAATGGGCATGAGCTTAGCTTGTGTGCAGCCAGAGAGCATGAACTAGCAAAGGAAAGTGGCTGGAGCAGAACTGCAGGGAATTCTGTGGCCTGATCCCCAGAGGCAGAGAAAGCTGCCACGTGGTGTGCTGTGAGGAGACCGAGAGTTATTGATGTCTAGCAGTGGCCAGGTGTAGTGAGGGGACAACTCACCAGCACGGCGCCTCCTGCTGGTCGTCTTGGGAATTAGCTCTCCAGAGTATGGAGTGTCCTCCGCAGGCCGGTGTCTCACCTGCCACTGGCCCTGTGTCCCTCCCGGACTCCGGTGCCTCTTGACCTCGGGGTTCTGCCCCCAGAAGTACACCCACACTCTGGGTCTCCCCTCCCAGGGGAACCCCCAGCCCTCTAAACCCACCTTGCCTCAGTGGCTACTGCCAGTCATCATCTAGCCCCTGCTCACTGGGGCAAACTGCAGTCTGTAATGGCCACTCATCATTGGCAAGGGGTTAGGACCTGCTGCCTCTGCCTATTCCCAGGCTACGCCTCTGTAGCCCCAGTACTTTTGTAGGCCTTCACCATGGCCTGCAGCCTGGGGTTTTACCAGGCTGGAGCTCCCCAGCTCCCTTTGCCCTTCCCCAGCACTTCTCCACCTCAGGTACCTTGCTCCCTGGTAGCCAGGTCCTTCTTTCTCCAGAGCCAGAGAGAGACTCCTCCAGCTTCTGGCCCACAGCCCTCTTATCAGGGCCAGCTGGGCCCTAATTGAGCTGGCCACAGCTGTGGCTGCTTTCCCAATCAGCCTAGCTTGGCTGTTTTAACCCCCGTTTTCCAGAAGTGGGGCAGCTACCCCTCTACACCAAGGATTAAGGTTTGTGTGTCGCCTGCACTCAGGATCTCGCTGAGAGGTGCCAGAACACGCTGCACCACAGTGTCATTGTGTCTAGTGCTCCTTGTTCAGGGGCGAGGGCGACCCCTCCAATCCCAGCCAGTTAGCGCAAATGCAGAATCGCCCCCGTGGGAATGGCAGTGCCCTGTCCAGGCTTTCCGCGCTGCACCAAGGAGAGCTGCATCTGGAGAGTTCTCACTCATTCGCACGAGCTCTCTCGGTTTGGTATCGCAGCCCCATGCCCTGTGCCTGGTCAGTTCCTCCTCCTTGCTGGAAACGCCTTCCTGCCTCCTCTGCTAGGCAGCTTGGCTTCGTGTCGCTGCGTTTCTTTTAGAGTAGCAGCCGTGTTAGTCTGTATCCGCAAAAAGAACAGGAGTACACCTCTACCTAGATATAACGCTGTCCTCGGGAGCCAAAAAATCTTACCGCGTTATAGGTGAAACCATGTTATATCGAACTTGCTTTGATCCGCCAGAGTGCGCAGCCCCACCCCCCCGGAGCACTGCTTTAGCGCGTTATATCCGAATTCGTGTTATATCGGATCGCGTTATATTGGGGTAGAGGTGTACTTGTGGCACCTTAGAGACTAACAAATTTATTTGAGCATAAGCTTTTGTGGACTACAGCCCACTTCTTCAGATGCATAGAATGGAACATATAGTAAGGAGATAGATATATATATATATATATACACACATACAGAACATGAAAAGGTGGAAGTAGCCATACCAACTCTAAGAGGCTAACTAATTAAGATGAGTTATAATCAGCAGGAGAAAAAAAAACTTTTGTAGTGATAATTAAGATGGCCCATTTCAGACAGTTGACAAGAGGTGTGAGGATACTTAACATGGGGAAATAGATTCAATCTGTGTAATGACTCAGCCATTCCCAGTCTCTATTCAAGCCTAAGTTAATGGTATCTAGTTTGCATATTAATTCAAGTTCAGCAGTTTCTCGTTGAAGTCTGTTTTTGAAGCTTTTCTGTTGCAAAATTGCCACCTTTAAGTCTGTTACTGAATGATCAGAGAGATTGAAGTGTTCTCCTACTGGTTTTTGAATGTTATGATTCCTGATGTCAGATTTGTGTCCATTTATTCTTTTGCGTAGAGACTGTCTGGTTTGGCCAACGTACATGGCAGGGGGGCATTGCTGGCACATGATGGCATATCTCACATTGGTAGATGTGCAGGTGAACAAGCCCCTGATGGCGTAGCTGATGTGATTAGGTCCTATGGTGGTGTCACTTGAATAGATATGTCGACAGAGTTGGCATCGGGCTTTGTTGCAGGGTTTGGTTCCTGGGTTAGTGTTTTTGTTGTGTGGTGTGTAGTTGCTGGTGAGTATTTGCTTCAGGTTGGGGGGCTTTTTTTTTCTCCTGCTGATAATAGCTCATCTTAATTAATTAGCCTCTTAGAGTTGGTATGGCTACTTCCACCTTTTCATGTTCTGTATGTATATTTATCTCCTTACTATATGTTCCATTCTATGCATCTGAAGAAGTGGGCTGTAGCCCACGAAAGCTTATGCTCAAATAAATTTGTTAGTCTCTAAGGTGTCACAAGTACTCCTGTTCTTTTTGTGTTTCTTTGCCAGTCTAGATGCAGCCCAGCTGGGTTTGTCCTCCTGACTCAGCGTTTCATTTCTTATTCTGAGCAGCCGTGCATGAATGGGGCAGGTGGGAGGAAAGGCCAGCGCTGTGCACTGGTGTTTGAAGTCCCTCTTGTTAAGCAGGCTTCCTGGCAGGCTCCAGACAGGAAGATGAAGCTCCTTAGCTTGACTAGGAAGGTGGATCTGCCCAGATCTAGGGTCCTCAGGGCTGTCCCAGGGGCAGTTATGATCTGATGGAGTAGTGGGCTTGAAGTCAGACATGGCTTGTGCTCTCTTCTCTGCAGCTGACTTGCTTTGTGGCCTTGGGCAAGTTGCTTCCCCCACAGTGCCTCAGTTTCCCATCTGTGAAATGGAGCTGCTAATGATGACCCCCTCCTGGGGAAGGGGCTTGAGGAGGAAGCTCTAGATAAGTGCAGAATATTGTCATCTCTGAGGGAAATGTGCAGTTCCCTGGAGGTGCCAGCATGACTAGAAACTGTTCCCCACGCACCTGAAAGCTTGCAGATGTGCCAGAGACAAATCTATAGGGAGTGTGTGTGAGAGAGAGAGACTTCCCACTGCAGGTGTCTTACCTAAAGCCAAACTCCCCTGATTCCTTTACAGAGGGTTGTGAGGGTCCCCTGTGGGCTGGGGAGAACCATCCCTTGTGCCAGCTCTCAGGACTCTGCACTGATGAGCGGGAGCTGAAATCTCTTCTCAGCTGGGAGCTGTGTATTTTCAATGGCTTATACCTGAAGTGCAGGTGTGGGTCAGGTCAGGTCCTGACTCCAGCAGGCATCC